ACCCACTCTCGCCATTCTCTCCAAGCCCCTTTAGCTATAATTTCCTCAGGCATCCAGGTCTTCTCAAACAGCCATAAATTTTGAGATCGCCAAAGCCACCACAAAATGTACGTAGAGAGTTGAATTCTATCTTCAGCTACCTCGGATTTGTCCACAGCACACACATTGTTCCACCAAAGCCTGAAAGAGTTATTACCTTCTTGCTCACCAGCCCATGACAGAGGAGTCAACTTCCAAACTTTCCTTGCTCTAACACAGCTAATCAGCAAATGCTCCACTGATTCAAGGTCTTCACCACACATTTTGCAAATGCAGTCAATCTCCATACCTCTTTTTTTAAGATTCAGTCCAACCGGCATCACATCATTATAACACTTCCACAGAAAGTGCTTCAACTTCCCCTTCACTTTTAATTTCCATGTTCTGCTTCTAACTATGGCCATCTTTCCAGCATCTCTGCTACTCTCAGCTTCAATGTATCTCAAGGCTTTTATTTTCATTAGTTGAGAGTATGAATTAGCCACAGAAAATTTCCCATTAGCATCATAAGACCATTTCCAAACATCAGGTTTAGTAGGATCTAAAGAAGTGATTTTCTGAATCTCAACTCTATCACTATCAGAAAATTACTCCCTTAGAACTGAGTCATTCCAATCTTTACCTGTGTCATCCAGCAGGTCACTAACCCAAACACCCTGAGCACTAGCAGAATCATTAATAGTGGGGCTTTTATGCTTTAAAGAGGGGATCCAACTGTGATCAGGAATTTTAGTTTGTTTGCCATCATGCACTTCTCTAATCAACCCAGCAGCAAATAAAGGAATCATTTCCACCCAGCTATTCCACATCCAAGAGCCAGACTGACTCTTTTTCACATCAAGAATAGAAGAGGAAGGAAAGTACCTGCTTTTGATGACTCTGCTTACTAACAGCTCAGGTATTGTAGTTACTCTCCAAAGTTGTTTGATCAACATAGCTCCATTGAAGAGTTTATAGTCTTGAAATCCCAATCCTCCCTCTGTTTTGGGAATAGTTATGCTACTCCATTTCTTCCAGTGCAGTCCTCTCTCTTGCCCTTTACCTTTGCTCCACCAGAAACAAGCAGTAAGCTTACTGAGTTCATCACAGATACCCACAGGGAGTTTAAAGCAAGCCATTGAGAACACAGGTAGTGCATTGATAACCGCTTTGATAAGAACTTCCTTGCCTGCTGAAGAAAGGTATCTGCTCTTCAAGCTGGTAAGCCTATTTTTTACTGCTTGAACTACATAATCAAATGTCTCCTTCTTAGACTTCCCTATGCCTAAGGGAAGTCCTAAATATCTAGTGGAATTGTGAGCTTGAATACCAGTCAACATGGCACAGATTCTCTCTCTGGTCTGGTCAGGAGTATTTCTACTAAAGAAAACTGTAGATTTAGCAAGGTTAACCTTCTGCCCCGAGAATCTCTGATAGGTAGCCAGCAACTCCAATAAAATCCTCACTTGTGCAGTATCAGCTTTGCAGAATACAATTGAGTCATCTGCAAATAGCAAATGAGTCAGAGTTGGCCCTTCTCTTGCAATTCTTAAGCCTCTGAATCTGCCAATGTCAGCTGCCCTTTTTACCAGAGAAGAAAAAACCTCAGAAACCACAAGAAACAGATAAGGAGATATGGGATCTCTCTGTCTAATTCCTCTAGATGGATGGACATAACCAGCTGCTTTGCCATTCACTAAGAAGGAGAAAGAAGGAGAAGAAATACACATCATCACCCACTGCACAAACTGCTTGTCAAAACCCATCTTCCTCATAGTTCTGTCAATGCACCCCCACTCTACTCTATCATAGGCTTTAAGCATATCCAACTTTAAGGCCATAAAGCAATTACCCCCAGACCTGTGTCTATTTAGATAATGGAAACATTCTTGCGCAATAATCACATTGTCCACTAACTGTCTGCCTGGAATAAAAGCAGCCTGAGATGGACTAATACAAACATCCAAACAATTCCTCATTCTATCAGCAAGGATCTTTGTAATTACTTTGTACACAACCCCACACAAACTTATAGGTCTAAATTGAGAGATAGAGTTAGGGTGAGTGCATTTAGGAATTAAGTTCACCAGTGTATGATTCCAGTACCTCAGCAACCTCCCTGATTGAAAGAAACTACTCACTGCTGTGCAGAAGTCCTCTTTAAGCACTAGCCAAAAGTGTTGGAAGAACAGGGTTGTCATCCCATCCTCCCATGGGGCCTTAGAGGGATTCATTTGAAATAAGGCTTTCTGGATTTCCAGCTCACCCATAGAGGCAGTTAGCCTGTTGTTCATTTGGGGTGTGATCACCTGCTTGATGTGTTGCAGTACTTCTTCTTCTTGCCCAGATCCCTCAGAGGTGAAGAGAGACTCGTAGAAATTCACCACATGTCCTCCTATTTCATTCTGAGTTTGGAAAATTCTATCTCCCTCCACAAGTCTGGTTATAGCATTTTATTTTCTCCTTTAAATAGTCATGGCATGAAAAAATTTTGTATTTGAATCTCCCTCCTTTAGCCACAAAATTCTGGATTTTTGTTGCCAGAACATCTCCTCTGAGCTGTGAGCTATGTCTAGCTCTTTCTGAATTTTATCCCATTCTGCCCAGTTTCTGTCACCTCCCAGTTGTCTCATTTCCTCCAACTTCATAGTCAGCTTATCAATATTGGCTTTGTTGTCAGACTTGAAAACTTTAGCCAATTTGAGAAGGGCTACTCTTGTTTTTTTAATTTTTTTCCTTCAGTCTAAACATTGGAGTCCCCTACTCTTCTTCTTGCCAGGATTCCCTAATCACATCATGAATTCCTTCCTTCTTGAGCCATCTTTTATAAAAAACAAATCTTCTTTTATGGTGAACTCTCTCCTTGCCATCTTCTAACAACAGCATTCCATGGTTTGAAGCACCCTTGAATATATTGGTGATCTTAGCTTGGGGATGCTTAAGAACCCAATCCAGAGTTGCATAACCTTTATCCAAAACTTCCTCAACAAAGCCTTCTCCCCTTCTGTTATTTCCCCAGGTAAATTTATGCCCCTCCATCCTAAGTAGGCACATTCCCATTTGAGCAATAAACTTATTGAAATCTTGATAGCTCTGCATAGGTCTGATTCTACCCCCTTTTTTCTCTTTAGGATTACTCAAATCATTGTAATCACCTATAATTACCCATCTGTCCCCCATCAATCCTTTTCCTGCAGAAGAAATTCCCACTACCTCTCTCTTTCCTGCTTCTGAGTGCTGAGATACACAAAGATAGCCCACTCGCTCTCTGATTGAGAGTCTTGAAAGAACTGTACTTGCATACATAATCCATTACTAACCACTGCCATAATATGCACCTCCTTGTCCCAAAAAAGTAGTAACCCTCCTTTGGTAC